TTATTCGCTGTCAAATTTACATTAATAATAAAGTCATGATAATGTTTACGTAAATTTTAAAATAAGATTTACAAGAAACTCTATAACGCAAATATACATAATTACTTGTTCCTGTATTTTACAATCTAGGACTATTGTGTAATTCTAATTACTTATTTCTTCTACAAAACTTTTAGCTAATAGTTTATGTGTGATTATAGTTAGATACTTTCTACCCAGCAAAACTTCACAACGTGTTAAGTGTAGTTGCAGTTACTTCTTTATTACACGAAACATTTTATAAATAATGTTGAGTGATTTTGAATACATGCTATTACAAGAAAAAATAAACAAAAATATGTTTGTGTAATTGAAATTAAATAAAAAAATAGTCTGATTTAGTGTCGTATATAGAAAAAAGTACTTGGATGTAGTTTCAACCGGACGGCTATAACATCATAGTCGATGCTCCTATTGGCTCATCAGACCACTGAAGGTCAGCGGATTGGGATGAGATGAGATCCTTCTTTGCATCCTACCCTTGGAGACGAGCTTGGAGATGATCCCAACGCTACTGCTGACTCTCTTGCTGATGTGGTGTTGCAAGGGATGGAACTCTTCGTTCCGTCCTCTGTGGTCCCCGTCAGTGGCAGATCTCGGTCCCTGTTTCGGCTCTTCTTCTAGAAAAGCTTCGTGCAGGAAGTAAGAGGCTTACCCAGCCTTGGCTGCCGCGGTGGCGGCGTGGGATTTAAAAACCGTTTAAAAAGGAGTATAACTTTGCCTCCAGGTCCTTCAAAAGAGTCATAGCGGGTCCAAGTCAAACCATATCCGTAGGGTTGAAGAGAGGCTTGAGCGCCTTTTTTCAGGAACTCGTGCGTTCTGGTCTCTCGACAAGCTATCGAAGCCAATTTCTGCCATCATTCTCACCTCTGCACGTGGGGGGAGAATCGTTGGCGCACGACGCAAAGGAAAAAGCTTTTGGGTAAATCCTTTCCGTCAAATTGGGCATTGGATGAGGGGGGCGTAAGCAGCCGGTTCTGCCATGGCGCGGGTGTAATGCCGGATATTCGGTTTACCAGCTCTTGGTACGATTGGTGCTCATGTCTCTTTACATCTGACTCATCATCATCATGGATCTGACGGAATTCCACCCATTGTGTTAAAGATGTGCGCTAAAAAGTTGGCACCAGTCTTAACACGTCTTTTTCGGCTCTCATACTCTTCAGGCGTAGTCCCGAAAAAAGGTGATCGCTCAAATCTGTCCAATCACAGAGTGATAGCCATAATTTCCCTCTTTTCGAAAATAATGGTAACATCTATTAACTGCCAGCTCCTTCGGTACTTGGAGGATCATCAGCTTCTTAGTGACTGACAGTATAGTTTTTGTAAAGGCCGGTCCGCTGGTGATCTCTTTGTTTACCTGACACACTGTTGGGCACAGGCGATCGAGTCCAAGGGGGAAGCGATGGCAGTCAGTTTGGACGATGTAAACGACGATGAAGGCCTTCGATCGGGTTTGATCTTCCTCCATATCAATAATATGTTGGATGACAGCACGGGTCACGCCTTTTACGCCGGCCGTGCTAACATTTCTCGGGAAAAAGTCATCGAGAGTCGAAACAGGCTTGTCTGAAATCGAGACTTCTTTAGAGAGAATTTCAGATTGGAGTAGACTTTCCTTGGTTGAATTTAAACCCTCAAAGACACAGATCTCCGTGTTCACAGCTAAAAAACTGCTGTTGGTCGTATCTTCTCAATTTCAGAGCACCCCCCTCACAGCTTCGGCCGGTATTGGGATATTTGGTGTCGACATATTGAGCGAAGTCCAGTTCCGTGGACATCTTGAGGGTAATGCCAAGTTAGCCTCGAAGAAGCTCGGTGCAATAATAGATCGAGGCAGTATTTCACCCCGGGGCATCGCTGTTACTTTACAAGGCGCAAATTCGGCCCCATATGGATTACTGCTACAGCTTCTCCCTAGTAACAGCTTCTGGACCGCATTCAACGACTAGCTGTCCAAATTGTTGACTGCCTTGTTATCTCGGACCGGTTGGAATCTTTGGCACTGCGTAGGGATGTAGCCTCGTTATGTGTTCTTTGTCGCATTTATCACGGGGAGTGTTCTGAGGAATTGTTCGATTTAATCTCAGTCGCTTCTTTTCGCCAACGTTCTACGTGAAATCATTTTCATCCCCATCAGATAGATGGTTGGCAGTCAACAACTGTGCAATTCACACGAAACTTTCTGCCCCTGACAGCAAAACTTTCGAATAGGATCTTCCGGCGGTGGTATTCCCGAACCGATACAACCTCCAAACCTCCAAGACACGAGCGTACTCTTTCTTAAAAAGCCGGAAACGCACCTGTGACTCCTCTGGTGCTGCGGGTGTCCATGGGCGGCGCCGATTGCTTACCATCAGGTGATCTGCTCGTTTGCCTACTATTCCATAAAAATGCATCTAAAGCATTAGGTATAAAAATTACAGAAAAATTTTACAGAAAGGTCGTACTCAAAACGAGGGTGACACGATGCACTCCTGCATTGAAAAAAGCAAAAACAATCATGTATCTTCCATTATCATCTATATTCAAGAAGAAATATATTCAATCATTCGAAATGCAAAAGGACAAAGTGAAAATACAATGACAAAAAAAGACTCCAGATCCTTTTTTAGATTTCAAAAAGCCAGTAGCCAACAATAAGAATTGGGAAAAAGATGACTTCGGTAAGGAACTTAGTTGGAGTAAAGTTAAAGAGATTTCGGTAGATCCTCAATGTCCGGAAAATTATACAAAGACTAAATAGGTCTATGAAGATATAATAACATACCTCCACACTGCCAGACTTATTAAAAGAGCGTTTTTTGTGAGGGGAAAATATCAAATTACTTCTCCCACCTAGGGCCGGGCGGGAGGGAGTGTCAAACTCTTACTGACTAAAAATCCCCTCGTTCCTTCTCCTGCTCTGGGCCTCTTCGCCGAGGTCGCGGTGCTCCATTGTGCTTACCCCGCAACCTCGGCTGATCAGCCCTATAGGGCCCCGTCTGTGGTGGTCTTTTGGCTCTTGGAGGCGCACGCGGAACGCTACGCGCTGTATGCTCGGGTCTGGTTCTGGTGGGGCGGCGAGCTACGTTTACTCGCCGTCCGCAGAGCCGCGCTTGCGGTGGCCGAAGATCATCTCTCGATCCCCGACGCCCGGAATGTTGCCTACTGCGACAGCTGGGGCGCGAGAAGAATAGAAATTCCTCCTTTGCGAGCATCACTGCTTCGCAGAAAGAGGAGACGTCTTCCCAATTCCTCTCGCTACGAACCATGGCCTTGACTAAGGAAGGGCGTGAGAGATCGAAGAGCTTAAGTACTCAATCTGATGCCAGCGAGTCTGATTCCGAAATTGAGGATAATTAATAAAGGACAATAAAAATATCACTATTTTAAACATTTCTTGATTAAGTATGCATGTGATAAATATTTTTTTTAATAATAAAAATTTAATAATAACCCATTATTGATCGTAAAATAACCCTCATTGTTTTCATTTTCTCTAAATTATTTTGTTTCAGTATTTACAGTTTTACCATACATACACTATTTACTATAAGAATTAGGTATTGCATGATACAAATTTAATATTCAGTTACGTTCCGCATTATAAAAGCTTTTTTTATAAATACACCTACTAAACTTATATAAATAGCTAGCTAAAAATACGTAACTCTATTTACAAAAAAGGATTTTCCGTTAAACAACAACGTGATTACACTTACAACTCTAGATTATAATGAAATATAAGAGAGTGCAAAGCCATAAGTAGAGTTAAATTAGTTAATATATTTAAAAATACAATAATAAAAAGCACTAATTGTAGTTACTCCTGCAAATATGTGATGTGTTTCGTGGAATAAAGAAGTAACCGTGTTTTTTAAGATTATCTCGAAGTACATCAGTCTGTTCCTCAATTAAATAACACGTTTAGTTGAAGGCAACTGTGACCTGCAATTTTCTCTTTGAAACTTATTTCTAGACCTGATAATAAAAATATAGGACAGTTTTTTTAAGCTCCTGAAAAGTTGGTGAAAATCACTTACTTCCTTTTTACACGAATGGTGCGAAAAGTAATATTGTTTTTGTAAGAGTTATTTGTGGTTGGCTTTAGGTTTTTGGGCTTTAAGACTTAAGTTACGTAACTAAAACACAATCATAGGATACGTATTAAAAATAGAAATATAATAATAGATGGAAATATTTTAACTTTATTTTCCAACGAGTACCTAAGTAGTTTACAGTTTTCTATAACTATGTTAATGGTCCACGTGTCCATTACGACACATGACTGATGCCAGTGGGTTATTCATCAAAAGGTCGCCGTAGGGCACATCGTCCATATGAGAAGAGACCTTTGCTCAGCAGTGGGCAATTGTAGGCTGGTGATAATGATGATGACTTTTATAATATCCGTAATATAAAATGGGTACAATAGGAGTCTTTTAAATGTTACAGATCTTCGCAATTTTATCACTTTATGCTGATTCACGATATTAAAATAATGTTTGGCATTTAGCATCATTTTTCATACTCACGTAAGTGAATTTCACATAAAGTGAGCCTCAAATAGTATAAGAGAAAAACAAAACGTGTAGGTAATAGAGCCATAGGTAGTACAGTCGACTAAAAATTTATTTGGCAATTGTTTTTCTTCACATGATAATGTACGCGGAAAAATAACCTCAAAAATCCCACAATATTGGTGTCATTTTAATGAACGAAACTAACAACTAATTCTTTTCTAAAACTTTGATCTTTATTTGAAAAAAATACAGGAATCTATAAGTTTTTACCCAAACTGTCAACCAATAAGATTATGAAAAATTTCAAAAAGAGGCTATTACTCAGCTTATGTCTTCCGACTTATTATTAAGCAACAACTGATGCTAATTTCGACCTTATTGAAAGAGCTTTGTGCAACAACAGACATCTTTCTAATGATGGTGAAGAAGTTAAAGCTGGTGCTATTTTCAACCTTATTAAATGACCAGGTAAAGGCCTTCTACAACAGCCGAGATCTTCCTGATAATGACGATGGTGGTGAAGGATAGACTGATGCTATTTTCAACCTTATTGAATAAGTAAAATACTACGAGTTTATGTAAAAAGTAAACAAATATTTATGGTCGACTATACAATGCTAGTAATGCGTGGAAATTGTACGTATATGCGTGACGGAGGGTCGTTTCATGCGGAACAAGTACACGCTTCTTACGTATAATGTTACTTGCAAACATCTTTCAATTCATTTCCCATTACCTTTTATAAATAAGTAGGTATTTTTCCGAATATATATAAAGGAAAAGTATATGTTACAAGCAGAATTAGGTTGGAATAAGAATATTCTTTACTCTTTTTCTTGTGAAGGGAAAATCATCATCTCAAACGACTTCAGCCGTGTGTCAGACTCTTACTGACTAAAAAATTTATTTTTCTTGAAAATGTCTTAAAATACTTCTAATGTGATATATTTTTGGTAATCTACTCTTCAAACTTCAGATAATTATCACAAACACTGCTTGCAATTGCTTTAAGAACTTACATAACCTAGCCTATTTCATCCGGAATTACTTAATAATTCCAACGCTATATGCCTTATTCTGCCCAACGTTTGGAAGTTACAGTGGAATAAAGAAAATCCCACAGGTATGTCACTGGAAAATAACAAGATCAGTAAGTTTATCAATTTACGAAAATGTGGACGTAAAATATTACAATTTATCTCCCGTTTAGAATCTTTCGAAAGTTTATATCTTCCTAGTAAATTGATAAACTTACGGATCCTGTTATTTTCCGGTGACAGGCACATACATGAACCCTAAAAACATAACACTTCATTCACACTCTTTTTTTGGGCAGTCGTGGAAAAACCCTTTCCGTCAATATTGCGCTTACATCTGCAATCCTAGCTTTACAGCGGGGGTTTATATTTCACATAGTTTCGATGTCATTTAGGTAGTATTTTGAATTAGCCTGCGCGCTGTCGTTGCTAGCAAGCCGAGCGTAGTTTAATCCAATTAGTTAATTGATATTTTTATGCATTCAACAAAGCCGAGCAATATTTATTAAACAAGTCTCGTTTTTTTTGAAATTTTTTACATTTAATATCATCGTGGTTATGTTCATAATGTAACTGACTCAATTTAAATTGAAACAATTTACCGCGTCACAATCAATTAATACTATAGGTACACATTGTTTTAAACATTTGCAAAGTATTGTAGTAATTAAGTTTTTTCTTTTGGTTTGGTTTTTAACCTCCATTCTGTTATGGTACGGTACAACATCTATCCTACACATACTTAAAAAGAGAGAAAATCAGAGTTTATTTTTCGTTTCCTGCCCCGGCTTTGCACGGGTGCAATACTACCAAATGTCTTCATTATTCATTAGATATACATGTATAAAACTTTCCCTTCAACCACTCTATCCATTAAAAAAGCTGCATCTTAATCCGTTGCGTTGTTACTGAGATTTAAGCAAACATAGGGATATAGGGTCAGAGAAAGCGACTTGTTTTTATACTATGTTGACATTTAAGTAAATAATACAACAATATAATTTTAAACATATGCATCGATAATTTAATGTTCACAATTTACATCAGAATACCATGAGTTTATTCCAAAAACTTTTTGATAAAAGAAAAAGATTCGTTTGGGAATTGGAAAAGTTGATTAATGAATTCCCATTGTAGGTGGCACAACATTGCTGAGTAGATTAGGGGTGACACCCGCGACCCGTCCGTCGAACATCCTTACTAATATTATAAATCGGAAAGTGAGTTTGTTCTACTTTCATGATGCTACTACTGAACCAATTATTTTAAAATTGATTTATATAATAGGCTTTTTATCCCGCAAATAATTATAAAAATATAGTTAGTTTCATATCAGTTCGGTGATAGATGGCGCTGTGTGTCGTTTAAAACAGGTTATTAGATTGCGGGGTAAGCGCAATGAGCTACCGCGGCCTCGGCCTAGAGCAAGAGAAAAAACGGGGGTGGGTTCAGTCAGTGAGAGTCTGACACTCCTACCCTGGGTGGAAGAATACATTCGATGATTTTCTCCTCACAAAAACGAAATGTTGCAAACGAATATGCACATGTAAAAGTCCACACGGGCGAAGCCGCAAGCAGATAGCTAGTAATAATACATACTTACGAAACTGCCTAGCGACACCAATGAGACATTCCCTGCTTAGGTACTTAGACACAAATTCTTGATTAATCATCCCTATCGTTCATTTCTATAAAAATCCTCGTATCGCGTGACGAATAGAACTTTTAAACTCCATTTTTGAGACTATTTATTTTACAGATAGTAAATTACCTCTGAACTACTACTTACTATTGTTGATTTCAAGGCATTTAGAAATTATTGCTGATCTTTTCAACTCTAGGGAAAATTCTCTAGGTCACGTGGGAAATGTGTCGAAATAAAATACAACAACAAATATGATGAGCTTATTGATATTTTATTGTTGTAAGTTTCATTAAAACTATAAACTAAACGAAAAACCTTCCTATTTTAAATGTAATACGAGATATGAACGTTTAAGACTTATGTATAAATAAATTTTCATCAAACCTTCGATATTTTTGTAAAAGAAAACTTTATGTAATTGGGTTGTTTGCTTTATCATAAACTGCAATTTTTTTTTTACAAAAGTAATCTTTTTTCTCTACTCTACTTTACGTAGTACAAAAATATTTAAATAAACATATAGTTTCAAAATAGTTTTGTACATTAAATACTTTTGTACTTTATCTTATAAGTTTAGATGATTGATGATCTACTTAGTATCCAAATTTTTTCACAGATAAGTTCTAAATATTAAGAATATACCTATATAGGTAAATGATGACATATATACTATCAAAATAAGAATGATATCGTACTGCTCAAATACATTATAATATATGCTTTCGTTCCGAAGGTTTAGTCGGAACTACAATTTGTAGCTTCTTCTTAATTATGTCGCAACTATCTGAGGATCTTTTGGAAGTGAGATCTTGAACTGGAGAAGTACTATCAGGTAGATTGCGATCATACTGATAGCCTGTGAACAAGAATGGTTATGTAATATGTATACATGGTTTCATAATCTTTTTAGGCCATACGGCGACGACCGACAGACGGATCCCTGATAAGTAATCAGCGCCGCTCATAGACACCAGAAACATTAAAGATGTTCCAAGTACGTTGCAGGCCTTTTCGGGATTTAGGGGTAAAGGAGGGATGAGCAGGTTTGGGTCTCTCGCACACGGCGAAACACAACGCTGTGGTTAATTTTCACACCGTAGTATCACCCCGGTAAGCATGCCCATTCTTGCCGAAGGACGACTCTCTCACAGTTAAAATCTCTATCTGTCTCATGGCAAATAGAGTCGTCATGTGTGCTAGTACAGAGAATGGTATCAAACAAATAACAGGGTAAACAAAATGCAACCTACTAAATTTCATTATAAAGTCTAAATTTAAATATTGTAGGTCAGTCCACAAAATCGTGATATACCTACGAAATACTGAGAAGGTAAAACCTACATATATCTGAAACGTATTCATTGATATTCTGTCAGTTAGTCGACTTGAGAGCGCACCGCATGACACTAATAGGACGGCTGAACGCTCCACAAGTTGCCTGAGCTTTCAATTTCTTGCCAAAAATAAGTTGAAACGTGATATTAGTCGAACCCAATCGATTTTGAATAGGATGTTTGCCTCCCCAGGGATTTTATCTCTGGGAGATATTGTTTAAAGAGGCTATAACAAAGGATGCTGAAAATTACTAATTTACTACACTTAATAAGGTAACGTAACGCCTCTTCGCTCCGAATTCATCATAAAATCGTCTGTCTACATAAAAATTTAGGTTCACAATTTTTGGAGTTGATTTGTTGATGGTGTTTACAAAATAAACAAGATTTTTTTTGCCACAATTTTTGAAGGTATGTTTGGGAAAGCCAAGCTAAGGCCCGAATGGGTCGGCTCGACCAGAGTAAACCACGGCCTCACAGAAAACTGGCTTAGAGTTAATCTTAAAGTTCATCTCACTCCATCCTTCTTCAATCCCAAAATCTTCGTAACTCTAATCCCAAAAAGGCCAGCAACGCTCTCCTAACTTCTCTGGTTGCGGATCTCCATGGGCAGCGGCGATTGCTTACCATCTGGTACCTCTGGTAATCCGTTGGCTCGTTTGCCGACTTATAACACCAAAAAAAAAGTTCATATGAATGTTTACAGTTATTTCAGAACCCTTTCACGATATCATCAGACTACAGTGAGCTGAACAAAACAGCAGTTGAGCTGTGCAAGAAAAAATAGTGAATAATCAATGAAAAAGTAATGAAACTGACCGATGTTAGTAGTTCTCTGTTGACATGAGCATATCCCTTCAAGCTCACCACAGCTGGGTTCATCTCTATAGCTTGGATGAAGTGGTCTATCTAAAAACAATAAAACCATTTATTATATTTACAATTACATATATTATGAAGTAGTAATAAATGAACCTGTGGGGTAATGACATTAAAATCTTTTATCTGGCAAAGAGTCAAAAAAGTCAAAGGTTTCTCAATAATATCAGAGTCAGTAACTAAATAAGGTTACTATTTATATTATAGAAACCACATTGATTATTGACTTTGTGGTAGGTACTTTCGAAATGTAACCTAACACTATAATATAAAGCTTTTTTTCGAGTGCGTAATCATCAAATGACTTTTCCGGCCCTGAGTAGGGCAAGAGGGGGTAACCCTTACTGACTGAAAACCATCCTGTTCCTTCTCCTGCTCCAGGTCGGAGCCGTGGTACACTATTATGCTAGCGCACAAAGGTTTAAATTGAATTATGAATCTCATACTCCACTATTGAGACTCAAAATCATATAACCCCAACATAGCAGTTATTATTATATTACTATGTTACTTAATATCGATTCTCGCTTCGTCATCATGATAAAGATCCTCGACAATTTGTGCGTCAAATATTTTTACCGAAAAGATTACTTGCGCAGTTTTTACGGATGATTCGTTTGATTAATATTGAGGTCATTGAACTTGTGTTGGGGTAGTAAATAAGGAAATATTCCTAGCCATGCAGCACGTAGTTGGTGTACGTACGTATGTATAACAGTTGCAGATACTTATATCGTGATTTACATCAAGGTTCTTGCTCGTACACATTATTTTTGTTTTTTTTTTATATTGTAGCAATGAAAAATATCGTAATAACAAACATATTTGTACAAGTTTTTACATATAAATAAATATAGGTAGGTATATATATAGTAGAGCAGACCCCCAGCATTAGTTAGCATGATGGCGCAATGTAGAGTATACATAATCTAATACATACTACATAAAACAACTTCATTGTTTTGCCTTGTAAGTTAGGTGTAACCTGAGAGACGATCTCCGGCCACCGTCTGTGGACGGCGAGTAAGGGTTGCTCGCCGCCCGTTAAGATCCAGGCCCGAGCGCACAGCGCGTAGCGTTGCGCGCGCGCCTCAAAGAGCCACACAGACCACCACAGACGGGGCCCTATTGCGCCGATGTTCGGCATCGGTTGCGGGTTAAGCGCAATAAGTCACCGCGCCTCGGCCCAGAGTAGGAGAAGAAACGGGGGAGTTTTTAGTCAGTAAGAGTCTGACACTCTTTCACGCCTTACCCTGGGCGGTAGAGGTCTAACCTAACCTAACCACCCCGGTGTCTCCTCGCACGTATGCGTGGGGTCACGGGAATCCACATTTTTCCGTAACCCCAACCTAGTGCTGGCCCATAAGCCTCGTCTCCTGCACCTGCGGGCTAGTGAGGTGTTTAACTACCCCGTGCATCACCTAAGAGGCGCGTGCCAACACCTGCGCACGGGTCCTCAAGGTGTAACCTAACCAAACCCAATCCTTCCTTCCAAAAGGTTGGCAACGCCCTTATATTAAATGACCACTCTAGAAAATCTACATTCAAAATGTTACTACTTCTATGAAGCGCGCCTTTGGCGCAAGATTGAAGCTCAATTGTCTGCTTTAGTGCAAATTGAACAAATTATAAGTTTCCATTTATGAATATGTGTTGGTCTGTTGGTTCTTTTGTTTCTTCAAAGTTCGTGAATTGTTGTGGATCACTTCTTCCTTACCCAACTATGAGGTTGAGGTCAACTCTAAGATAACTCCTGTTTCTTAGTAACCAGTATTATATTCAAATGTACGTGTTAAATATAATATTAAAAAACTTAAAAGTCTGTTAATTACTTTAGTAATTCGGTACCTATACAAGGTAGCCCCGCACTAGTATTTCCCAAGATTGCAAGGATTAAAAACTCACTTAAGAAACTAATCAAGTGGCACAACAACTACGGACTGGTTCAAAACGCACGCACTCATTAAAACCAACTACTTTAAATCAGGTCGAGTGCATGAACTAAATGTGATGAAAGAGGTTCCAGTCTTTTCTTAGCATACAATCCGCATCTAGGTAGGTTAATCACGTGAAAAAATATTCCACTTTTTCTTTTTTTTTAATTACGTAACACAATAATGTTATAATATTTTTTTATTTCTATCTTTGTTTGAAAACACTTTGCTACACACTAGGATTTTCTCCTGGGTTGTGGGTGCTTATGAAAACATACTAATTCACGTACACATCACGGAACATCAGACACGGAACAACATACTACAAAGAGTTGTTCCATGTGGGAATCGAACCCGCAACACGATGCACGGTAGCCGGTTGCCAAGAAACCGCGTCAACCGCATAGTCTCTCAATATTACTACGATTTCGTAGCTCTTCTGCTACGCCGTAGCTCTATGCATACCGCTCTGAAATATGTTAGAATTTACCTCTTTCTGTGTAGGTCTGTCAACTGCTAGAACATCGATGGACAGCAGTGTATCTTGTACACCGGCAGCCACCTGTAAGAAGGATTTATCTATAGAATTGTTTATACGAAGTTTTTGGGATTTAAGGCTGATTTTTCAATGGTCAGATAAATGTTATCTGAAGAATAAAATTGTTGCTGTCACTGATTAATTAGATAAACTAACTATTGAAAAAAGCCCTTAACCTATAATAAGTAAAATCAGATAAAAGTTGCAAGTAATGAATTATTTAAATAAGGGGTTTTCAAAAATATTATTCGGTAGATGGCGGCTCTGTAGCGTTAGATCCAACTAGACGATTAAAATTTTTAGGCATTTTGTTTTGTTAATATATTTATAAAATGCTACATGTCAAGTTACAAACAGAATATGATTTACCAAAAAGTGTTGTGCAGTGCCTATCTGTGCAAATAAACACACTAATCAAGCTCAATTTTCAGTTTGGCAACAAACTGAAAGTTGAGCTTGACAGAAAAATGTTGAAGGCAAATCCTCCGCTAACGGAGATCACCGGTGACCCCCATGGCGCTTAACGTAGGTTCAGTAAGAACCTGAGCTATCTGTTAGCTGTTTGGACCTTACGCATACGAAGCGAAACTTGGCGGTAGAAAGTTTCGAAAACACTCCATTAGAACAATCGAATAATTAATAACTTAGCTTGCTTGATAAGGGATAGTGATTTAAAAAAAAAGTCTTATTTATACCGTCAAAGTAGATTTATGCGAGCAATCAACGAATATGAAGAGTAGAGTTGAGCAGTAGGCAGCGTCGACGAACAGGCCCATTTCTTTGAAACTGAAGCCGAAACCATGGTCCACTATCTCGGAGAGAGCCCCGTATACTGCTATCGTTATGTTCGCGAACCTAGTTTAAAGAATGACATAAAAAACTTCAGTTATTATTAAACTTTCTCTGAATTAGATTGGAAGATAGGATTTATATAGGGACAAAATTTTATACATGAAATTATATGTATGTAAGCCCTTTAAATAATAATTAATTGAATAAACATAAATAAATACACTTTAACATTAGTTTTTACTACATCCTGTACCTGTGGTCTAGCTATAAGTTCTAAAAGAATCGTGTTTGAAATTTTAAGTGATAAATTAAAAAAATACAAACGTTAATGGTAATCTAGAAAAAAATCTAAAATCAAAATCTTTTATTACAACTAAACCATACATTTTTGAAAGGTCAGAATAGGATAATAGTATGTTAGTCTATTCGTTAATGAAGCTAGGTGCTCATTCCAAAGTTTACATTTACTACATTGGCATGTCGAAAAATGAGAAAGTAACACCACAGATACTCTTTAAAAAAATGTTTTATAAGCTCACCAACTCATCATTGCACCTATGTGTGAGATCAATACAGAGAGCGAGTTGTTAAATAAAGAAAGCACAAACGATATACAGGGTGTTAGGTTAAATGAGAGACATATTGAAGGAGGCCCAATCCCGCCCCTTCCTCTATCCCTTCCCGATCCTTATATCCGCAACCCCTATCCCCAAAAGGCCTGCCGGCCTTTGCACGCACTGGTAACTCCTTTGGTGTTGCGGGTGTACATGGGTGGCGCCGATTGCTTACCATCAGGGAATCCGTCTGCTCGTTTGCCGACTGATACGATAAAAAAGGAGCCCATTTTGGTAATCAATCGGAGATCAACAACTTTTTCTATGACACCAATATCCAAATCTCAAACATAAATTTATATCCTCATACAAATGCGCAACAGCTGATTGATTATTTCGCATGGAAGGAACATTTTTGTGAGATTACAAGGTGAGGTCTTAAGACCTTTTCTCTTAAGGTCTTTTAAGGTCTTAAGGTCTTTTTTGCACATCTGCCAGAACGACAAGGCAAACACTGGCTAAACATTTGTTTCAATAATAATGTTAGATTTATTTAACTTCCGTTTTATATTGATTATTAGTATTGTCCCAACTGTAGTGATATTATTAAAATACATACATAAAAATAGTTCAGAAATGCAATAAGTCCTACGACAATAGTGTTAAAATGTTATACTACAGGTATGTGGAGGCTTGTTGTTAGCAATATTCAAAATATTTTTTTACTCACACTATAAATAATCTGTAAGCCTTTTTTAAAATTATTAAAAAAAAGATAAAAGTTGTTTTATTTGAGCACCAGAAATGGGGTCCTTGAATATTTCCCTCGTTTAACCTTACACTGCATATTATATACGTATATACATATACTTGGTCAGTGTTCAAATTTGTACTTTACATACATTTTGTAATAATTGATCTAATCACAGTGTCATATACCTACAAATCCATGGAAAACTCAACATGCATAGAACTTACATGAACAAACAATAAGTTGAATATGTTCTTGCATAAGCGTTTCCAAGTGACTGCAGCAGCTCGGATAGGTTGAGCCACAGGTACCTATATCGAGATATTAACTTTGCTGAACATTCTTGTTCCACGTCCTGGTAAAGATTACATTAAAATAAGTGATCATCATTATCATCAGCCTATAAGTGCCCACTGCTGATTAAAGGCCTCTTCTCACGCGGTGAACGTTTGAGCATTAATCACCATCCTTAAGCTAACATACTACATATAAATTGAATACTGATTTAAAAATAAGCTAACATACTACATATACATTTTAACACATAGAATGTGCTTAATTCAAATTTTATACAAAACTATTTAGAAACGACGTAAAATTAAGAAACCAATTATGACTTTACATTAGTCAAGCAACGTTGAAAAGTTGAAACGTGAATGTTACTTATTACTACAAGTTATCACAACAATTACTTGTGTAACATTAAACTTAGTTTGGTGAACAAATATAATATCCAAAACAAATAAATGAATTCTATTCTATTCTATAAACATTTCTGGAAATGATATTCGCTGAAGACATGTTAAATGGAAAATAATGTTACATTAGAAAGCATACGTTCCTAACTCTCCCGTTTGAATTGCTTCTCCAAACACCAGATAACGTTTTACCGTTACTGCATGAAGTGAAAATTAAAATGTTACAAGTTTTTGTTCCACAATTTTAACCATCATCGTATTAAAATACCTAGAGGGTTTTAGTTCAGTACAAGTTCTCAGTTTAATTGGCGCATTTGCAGTCAAAGAATCAAAAAATTATGCACTTTCGTGGGCACTTTTCTTATTTTGACCGAAATAATTACGATTTAACGATTTTTTTGTCTTATCAAGTTCATAAGTCATCATGAAAACTACTAAACTGATTTTAATGAAACTTGATTCTCATACGCAATAAATGTATCAACCGCAATTAAGTATATTTTCGAAAAACAGGTTAAAAACAGGTTAGGAAAAGGCAATTAAACCAAGTTAAGTTTTTAGACTACATTTTGATGTACCTATTTAGAACTAGCGATCTGCCCCGGCTTCGCAAAATTTCCCCACTATTCATTGGATGTTATGATACATATAAACTTCCGCAGCGTAGTTGTAAAGTTGTGAAATAGTCACGATGCAGGAAAACATCTTGGAGTAGGTCAACGTCATATTAGATGATAAAAACGGTTCATGGTTATATAAAAGGTTCGAATCAAATGAGACGCTGACGAATAAACCTAGCAGAGTTAGGTCTTGTTTAACAGACAAAACTTCATCAGTTTACTAATTAAATATCTTATTATTTGATGTAAGATTACAAAATAAACAACATATACATTACCCTACGAAAACACGCCGAGAGACTTTGCGAAGCAATCTTAATTCCTTTGCAGTTGATGTACCAGAGAGCACAGTTCATGTTGATCATAGTTATGATATGATAATATGCTGACGTGTGCCATAAGAGGAATCCATCCATTAGTATACAGAGGCTGAGCAGGAAACACACGGCGAGTAATAAGCAACCCACGCTAATGATCACGATTGTAGTCTTCAAGTTGGGAAATTGAAGATTCTCACCGGTAACACGGTAGTATCTGACCTATAAATATATTGAGTATTAAGTTAAGTATATTGTTATTGGCGTATTTATTAGAGGTAGTACACTTTTATTGCTATGATGCACGTCACATCATCTGCTATTTCCTATTTCCAGGGTTGCCCTGCAAGGCCAGGGTTGTTGTTGTACCAAGGCCCCGACTTGGACCAAAAGAAGTGTCAGGGTTCTTTTTAGAACATAAATTACGCAGATATTAACGCGAAAATAATTATCTAAATATCTTGGTAAGCTTGACGTTTCGACCTGGTTGCACAGGTCGTGGTCACAAGCAAACTGAAGATGCGATGTCACAACTCCCCGCATTCGATTACCTAGATAATTATTTTCGCGTTAATACCCGCGTAATTTATGTTCTAAATATGAAAAGCGAAAGTTAAAAAGGGGTTCATTTTAGTTCGTGAGGATTTGACACTCACTCTTGATTTACCCTGGGCAGGAGAGATCATTTGATGATTTTTCCACAGGCACAGATGAGCAGCTGGCATTAATCAACGCGCTTGCTCAAGGCGGACTGGTGATTTCTAATTTACAATTTAGGTACCTACTTCACGACCATCGGTGGTGTCTACATAGGTAGGTGTCTACATAGGCGTAGGTATATATTTATAAAACACATTGCTTAATTATAGCTATCATTGATATCTTGAAAAAATCCCTATGATACCAGTCAAGTCTCGAACCCACTCTGCCTGATGAGTTTTGAGAAGCGGGTTCCTTAACTTTCGGGTCAGAGTTGCAAAAAGCTACAAGATGCAATAGTCTCCCAGATTAAGTAGAAAGCATTTTAGTTATAACATTTCAGTCTTCCTATAAAGCCACACGTGTTTTGTGTTATGTCTAAATAAACACACTTACCTGAAATTTCCCCCAATTAGTTTTGTAAATAGCGACTTGATGAGCCACGCCCCAGCCCACGAATGGTATCCAGAAATGCGGAACAAGGAAAATGACGAAAAGAATGGCATAAATATAATCGTCGAAGCGTCGAATTGATCGAAGTATCATTATCCGCTCATATCCCACGATTAGAACAACTGCTGTGGCAGCGATATAGAAACACACCGCGTACATTGTGGCTCTGGATTTCCAACTAAATGTAATCGTGCCTAAAATAAGAATAAAGTCGCAATTTAAGAAGATATAGCTGCGAAAAAATCATACGAAAAAAAATCACGCAAGTCATGCTAACTAACGTGATGGGAATCGTCGTTCGAATTTTGTCTGTCGATTTTTAAAACAATATCTATCGATTTTCCCGAATTTCGAATCGAGCCTCAAGATCTCTAGTTTGGCCGTCAATTTTACAACCAACTTACCAATGAAAACGCCAGAAACGAGCCAGGAGATTAAATTATTAAAATGAAGTTCTAACCTGGCCGAGAGCGTGTGATAGGCATAACCGCAAGCGCCCGAAACAAGACGAGAAGCAGCTTATGGTCCCTGTAGAATTGGTCGTGGATCTCACACGTGTCACCATCTTGAGATGATAGAAGGTCTCTTTGTTCTTGTTCCTAATGTATAAACAGAATATTTTTTTTATGAAGGTGCCTCATTCACGTCTAAGTGAAAGTGTTGTATTAACCAAGCAATGCTGAGTTAACACATTTAAAAACCTACACATCTGGGATTGGCAAACAAGCGTCCATTATTGCGGTAGGTACCTACACATTAAAACAATATAACGCTGCACTGGGTTATTCAATTTAAGAAATTCTCAACCTTTCAGAATCTGCAATAGACTACTGCTCATTATTCTACTGATATTACAACCACTGAAGTTTGTAAGCATCATGGATGATGTTTTTATAATAACTATCGTGAGACATATCGTGTCTATAGTGTCTATTTTGAGAAAAGCTCTACTAGTTTCGAACCACAGAGGGGTTCTTCCTCATGAGCAGCGTGCGCGGACGCGGCGACGTCGCATGTAGGCTGCGCGACGTCTACGACGTGTGACTCGAAATAGACACATGAGTAACCCGCGATTTTTAGTTAATTATGGATGATGTTTGTTAGGTATAGGTACTCTTTCACTGTACAAGATATACCTACAGGTGAGGTAGATTATAGTGTAATAGGCCCAGAGGCTACGTTTTACTCTGATATTAGCAGAAACTAACGAATATTTTACTAACAAACGAATATTTTATAAATTATTACCTATATTACCGGAGGCCCAATCCTTCCCCTCCCCCAATCCCTCCTAAATCCCTAAATCTCCAAATCCCTAATCCCTAAAAGGTCGGCAACGCACTCGTAACTCCTCCGTTGCGAGTGTCCATGGGCGGCGCTGATTGCTTACCATCAGGTAATCCGTCTGCTCGTTTGCCGACCTATTAAATAAAAAAAAAATAAAAAAATATTGGCCTGCTAGAAAAGTTATGAAAATGAGTGTCGAATGGATCGGCTCGACCGGAGAGACAGCCTCACAGAAAACTGGCGTGACATAACCAAAGAGTTGTGTTTCGCCGTGTGAGTGAAGGTACCGGAGGCCCAATCCATCCCCAACCCCAATCCGTTGCCTTTCCCAAAATCTCCAAATCCCTGATCCCCAAAAGGTCGACAACGCGCTCGTGGCTCCTCCATCGTTGCAGGTGTTCATGGGCCACGCTGATTGCTCCACCATTAGGTAATCCCCGTGCACGTTTGGCGAACTATTACCTAAAAAAAAGAATATGACAAAAAGCGTAACTATAAAAGCTAGCTACTTACGTAGTCCCGCTGTGTCTTTTCATACACAATTTTATTTTGCTGAATATGCCTCATGTCATGATGAAACAGGGTGTTATTAATTCCTTCATCAAAAAGATGATCTGGTATCGTCATATTTGCAAGTTACGGCTTAAAAGCAACTGTCATTCACCGTATTCTTTACTTAACTGCGACAGGGAATTACCATTATCCAGCTTACCGTAGCATTATCGACATGGCAAACAAAGTGAGCCAAATTAATTAAATTTTAAAGTAAATGACGCCTCCTGCATATCAATGGCGCGGTCACCTCGTCATGGCTACCTGACTAATGTTTGTCAGTTACCTCTAAACACCACCCTGTGTTTAGCCCCCAAGGTCTTTCGTAAAATATGTATTAAAGACTTTTAAATTGTTTTTATGACGTGGATAGTTGTTTAACCGTGTGTGTTTCATACTACGACTATATAACAGTTCACAGTATAAACTATACATGCAAAATTTGCATTTTTCTTTTCTAAATCTTAAATCTTGTCCAGAAAGAGCGAATTCGCCACGATTATCAAGTGCGACCGTTTCGCCCAGAAAGAGCGTACCTACGCGCGGGCATTTGTGAACGAAACGTTTCTTTTTGATGGCATAATCAGCTGATCTCATATCGCAGGCCGTTTTTCTATTTCGTCTATAAATAATTCCGTAATAAAACGGGGTAATTAGAATTTGAGAGGTGAATGGATACACAAAAAGTGTGAATAGGTAGATGTTGGCGAATCTTCACAGTATTCATTTATTTCTTGAATTCTATTCACCCCCTTTTACTGTATCAAAATGTTGGCGCTCCATTTCCCTGGATACGTGCACTCGTTCTCGAGTTCGCGCGTTAACTGTTTAATTCGCGCGATGCTTATGGACGCGGTGTATTGGTGTCTAGCGTCTCTATAACGCGCGAATGATTTCGCGCGAAAGGACTTTCTGGACAAGATCTAAAGAGCTGTATTCGCACGAGATAATCGCGGCGAATTCGCTCCTTCTGGACAGGCTCTTAGTTAAATTTAATACACTGAAAAAATAAATTCATTCCTTTCCAGTGTAAAGGGCGTTGATGATACCAGAGAGAATAAAGTCGTGACATATCTCAGAACCATTACATTAGAGCAGTATAGGGTCATTATCAGACCAGAACATTATGTAGCATTAAAAAATCTTAGTAAGTTTATAGAAATGATAGGAAGTCCCAACATAATGTCCAAATTAGATACTTTTTTGACGTAAGATTAATTAGTTGAGCAAGGTTGGTATGCAATATCGGTAAGAAGACAGGGTGAAACACTAGTACTGAATAAAAATGCATAATAAGTTAACCCGTAGCGTATAATATAAAAATATCACAGTTAGCTATCTATTTTCACATTATACTCTCGTACGTAACTTAAACAATAAAAAATATTAACAGCCATTTTATAAATATTGGACGTGTTCTTATTTCAAATTAAGTTGACAAAAAAAGAAAAAGGGCGGGAAAAGTATTAATTATAACAATATACATTTCAAGCTACATACTTATATTTTAGAACACCTTTTTATAAAATGCATATTTATTAATGTATTAACTAACACTTTATAATATAGAAATTAAACAAATTCTAAACGATTCCACAGACTATGCTGGCGGATTCTAGAATCGCCGGTATAAAAAAAACACACAGTTGTGACATTGCGATAAACAACTTAAGGATATTGTATTCAAGTCATTATAAATACAGCTATGTACAATGTGAAAATATTGCAAATTCATTTAGTTGATTCACCAAAACTTTCAAATTAAGAACATATCGTTTATCATATAATCATATTTAATTAGGAATATGACTGTAATAATAGATGCATGATCAAGAAATTATAAATAGGTAAAACCAATACAAATAAATACGTATGTACATAATTTTACTAAAAATGGTTTTAAAAATTGTTATTGAACACTTTGATTTCCTGGACAAATAATAATTACATTTTATTACCCACAACCGCAAAACAAATATTCTATTTTATTGTTTTGCAATTTTCTGTAAATGTTAAACTTTTATAATTCATTATTTTCCATATATTCAGTCTATTGTTGATATTATTACAAAGTATAATGTAATTAAAATAACGGACCAAATTTTTCACTAGAAAAATAACAACAAAAACAGCTTATTAATTTGCTTTAGAAGTTAAATTAACATGATTTATTGTAAAACAAGAATACATTCACAAAGAGATTATATTTCATGTGCGCGATGATCATTATTTTATTTATTTGTAATATATTTTATGATTTCTAAGACTTAAGCTTAGCTAGTTGTTCCATAAGTTCTTTATCCGCGTCTTTGGTTGATTCTCCGAGTTTGTTGCGAGCAACGGATGGGGCACCCGCCATCTGTAAAAAAAATATTTGTTAGGCCAAAGCTCTTATCTTAGGGCCAGACTTACAAAGTCAATCAAGCGGCTGTAAGCTGATCTGAGACATATAAAAATATTTTATTCCTTAGATTAATTAATATGTAGATGCTAACATTTATTCCAAATCATCATATCAAACATAATATTATAAAGAGGTAAAATTAAAGAGTTTGTATGTATGTGCGAACCACTGGTCGGATTTCCAAAATTCTTTCACCAATAGATAGCTAATATATTTCTGAGTGCTATAGGCTATAAAACATCACACTACGATCAGATGGAGCCGAGCAGCGGGTGAAACCGCGCGAGAGTAGCTAGTATTAAACAAAATCAAAATGCATAGTACAGAACCCGAGGTGAAATTAATTAACTTAATTAAAATGTACATTGATTAAGCCTAAATAGGTGGTATGTTTTGTAAAAAATTCTGCCCTTAAAAGCAGAGTAACACATTTCAATGACCAGAGTAAGGGCACACATTGAAGGTCATTTGACATCCCCTCGCGCTACAAATATTTGTGCGGCCGGAGATATTTAGCGAATCCTCTTTGTTTGTCCGTGACCATGGATAAAGCTTGATTTGTTTAACACCTATATAACTACGTAAAGTAAACAAGGTGGATTTTACGGTACAGGGTTTCAAAACAAGCACTCGCGCTAGTACGAGAAGAGAGAGAGCGAATATATATAAGGCCATTATAAAAGAAAAGTGCCAAAAAAGAGCGCAACGAGAGTCATAGTAGTTTGCAAAATGTCCTTGCTACATAGGTAATATTTTTTACAGATATTTCAAAAATGTCTCTATTCTGTATAAACAGAATGTTATCCTACGAATAATTGTAATAAAATAATCTCAAATTCACGACTGGTTATAAAACTAGAAACATTTTTACCTTTCCACTGATTTCGATGCCGATTTCATCAAGCACCTTATTGACAATGCCTTCAGTTTCCTCCTCGTCACCAGATTCGTCCATGATATCATCAAGGGTGTCTGAAACTGGAATAAAACGTTGATTAATATATAGAACCTACAAACGACGATTGGTTGCGATTCGAGACTTCGAAACTTATAAGGTACTATCTTCCGCGCGCGTTTATGTAGATAAAAAGGATATAAGGATCGGGAATGGATAGGGGAAGGGAAGGGATTGGGCCTCCGGTAACCTCACTCACACGGCGAAACACAAGGCTGTGGGTTGTTTCACGCCGGTATTCTGTGAGGCCGTGGTATAACTCCTGTCGAGCCGACCCATTCGTGCCGAAGCTTGGCTCTCCTACACTTAATTTCCATGCCAGGGCCACACCACATTATTGTGCTTGACCCAGAACCCTGGCAATACAGGATGGAAAATGGTAAGAAACAGTGAACAATGGTTAGGCAGTAGAATTTGGTAGTTTCCTAGGTCAATAATAAATTATTTCGACGTTTCAATACAATAAAATATTGAAAAATAACTAAACTTTTATTCATCGATCGATCGATACACTAATTTTTAGCTAATTATCAAGAAATAAGTAAGCTATTTGACGCAAAAAAGTTATGACGTCATAGCTCAGTTTTTCATACAAATTTCATAGAAAAGTATCGTTTTTGACGTTTGGATAAAAGTATTGAATTTGACTAGTTGGAAACTACCGTATTTCTCAACATTTCTAATCAACCAGCCAGAACCAAGCAAACATTTCTTACTTAACCAATACTTAGTACTTCGTGGTACTTACTCATTTCATCTGTCATATCCATCTTAGCATTAGCTTGTCTAAATGCTTCCATGTCCTTGGCAATTTGTTGTGGGTTCATAACCTTATTCATGCTATCCATAGTTTTAGCTGTAGTACCCATCGCGCCTGCAATCGCTATGTTAGCTCCCATAGTCTTATTTTGAAATTGTACACTTGAAATCTGTAATCAGACAAATAACATTAATGTTTAATTTCAAAAAATAACATTCAAATATATATCAAAATAGTAAATCCGTAATATGTCAAACTGCTATGAAGGAGATAAAGCCGCCGATGGACACCCGCAACACCAAAGGAGTTACGAGTGCGTTGTCGCCCTTTTCGAGAGATATGGGCTTGGATAGTTAAAGATTGGGAAGGGATGGGGGCAGGATTAGGCCTCCCGTAACCACTCACACGGTGGGTTTTACGCCGGTTTTCTGTGTGGCTGTGGTATCACCATTACCAAAACCATTAAGTACCTATCATTATTTTTATGACCAATATAATTGTGATTTTAGTGCAATGTAACTAAAATGTGTAGTTATTTTTCCTTACCTTACTATTAGCACCATATATCCTAGCTTTTTGTTTCCTCAGCTGCACCAGTTGTTTTGCTAATATTTTACAACCATCATTATTGCCTTCTTTAGCCATCTTCTTGATCTCATTTTCCTGTAATCCAAATAAAATATCTATATTTAGTGATTATAATATAAGTTTTAATTACATCTATGTTATATTTGGCATTTTATAGCAAGCTCTCTGGGATAACAGGTGCCTAATTATCTAAGATGACTAGTATCTGTAGAAATCTACACTTACTATTAATACATTTTATTTTTAAGGAGAAAATCATCAAATGGCTTCTCTGGCCCAGGGTGGGGTGAAAGGGAGTGACAGACTCTTCTCTCCTGCTCTTGGCCGACACCGTGGTGTCTTATTTTGCTTGCCCTGCAACCTCGGCT